CCTGCAGTCTCTCTGTGTGAAGACTTCAAAAGGTAGACAAAGTTTACTGAGATAAACGTCGAAGGGAGTCTAGTCCGGAAATGTCTGAGATTGACACGCTGATGTGCTGGTCTGGTCTAAATTAAAGAACAAGTGCCAATTTACTAATTCTCTTTTCCTCCTATCTCTTAAAGCTAAATCTTTACCTTTTATTCTCTTATTTACTTAAAAACTTAGTCAAGCAGTGTGCCAGTGAATTACAACACCTGAAATTTACTGTTTGTGTCAATTCTGAGTGGAATTTTATGCCGAAAATATAAAACTTGTGTTCATTTATTCATATAATAATTTTAATAAATGTTTGTATGTTTATTCTGTTCATATATCTAAAATAAATTACTTTATTTTGAGAAATCTGACCAGGTCACAAGTTTTCATTTTTCACTTCATGATCAGAGGGGTATTTCATTATTTCCTGGTTTCATTTTGCAAGATCTTGCTGGATTATTTTGTGGAGGTTAGGCTGGTCCTAATTTCATAGGGTAATTCTACAACTGTTAGAAACAGACCAGGTCCAGTTTTCTGGGTTTCTTCTTTATGACCAGAAGGAAACATCAAAGAGCTTCAAGGCAAACTGAAATGTTAAAATCTCCACAAACAGAAACTGTCCCTCCGTAAAATCTTGATAAAGTTTGAATATTTCTAAAAATAAAATTTGTTTTGGCTTACCGGACCACACTGCGGGCTTTGTCGGGGTCTGTAGCTCTGACCGAGCCCACAGCCGTGCCCACGGCAGCATCTTCCTTCACCTCCATCAGGTAAGAGACTTTGTCAAACAGAGGCGGCTCGTCCACGTCTTCCACGCTGATACGAACTGTGGCCGTGTCTTTGGAGCCGGAGGACGTAAAGCGAGGGTCCACCTGGGTGTTCTGGACCTGGACCTCTAATATGAACGAAGGTTTCTTCTCATGATCCAAAGGCTGCAGAGTCAGAGAAAATCCAACAGACTCAAAATTAAACATGAATTTATGTCAGAAGAAAGGAGGAAACGTTGGTGAACGGCCCAACTGGATGTTGTGATAAAGGCTTAATCAGGTGAGTTTATTATAAATTCTTAGGAAGATATTATTGAGGTAATAAAATTCACACACATCAGAAAACCTTTAGTCAGAAAAAATGCTTTTGATGTTTAAAATTGTGTTTTTCTGTCTTTGGTAAAAAATAACCCAATATTTATAAAAGCTCAGAATGCTTTTTTTTTTTACATACACGTTTACAAATTTTGTTCAACAAATTACAGTTAAAACACTCCTTCACACTTCAGTTACGGTGCAAAGCTCTTCCACGTAAACATATGGAATAAATTAATTATATGCATTCAGTTTCCTCTTTAACATACTTATTATTTCCTCATCACAGACACACAAATCATCGTCAGTGCCATGACACAGCTCATGATGCTGAGCTGTGTCAGCACCATGAGTAAGAACCCTTTGGACAGAAGTACAGCTGCAAGATTCATGTCACAACTTATTGTTAGATAACTGGTGTTATCGGAGACCAAGGTATTCTGCAGCTTTTTATGCATTTTGTTTAAAAAAAAACAAGAAATATTCATTATGTAATTGTAGAGGTAATGTTTGTAAGACTAGAATAGAATAGTTGTTTTTTCACTATGTTGACAGTTCAACAGCTCAACAGAATTGCTCAGATAGGTAAATATGAAAGTACTGTAAACATATTTACTGTACATCAGCAGTAGTATGTACTAGGGGTGTCCCGATCCGATATCGATATCGGATATCGGTCCGATATCAGCCAAAAAACGAGTATCGGATTTTATCGGACTG